CAAATACCAAAACAAGGATTAACACTAACTAACTAATGAGCAGCTGCTCCAGTGACAGCCAGCTAAAAACACACCTCAATCATATCACCTGCATGTGTCACATTAACGTGTAACAGCTGAACTGTTTCGTATTAGCTGACCAGAGGGTTAGAGGTAACCACAGCGTGGCTTCAGAGTAGGGCTGGGCGATAATTCAATAACGATATATATCGATTGATAGACGTGTGGCGCAATAGAAAAAAAGAGGGTTGATAAAAATTCGATAAAAAAGAAACACAGTTTTCCTTCCTTCTCATTGTAGCCTAGCATGTAGGTTTATGCTAGTCACTGCTTCCTCCCAACCAGAGAACAAGTCATTTCTCAGAGCTATCATAGAGCTTCTTTCTTTTTTTTTAGGTTTTCATTAAATGTATAAGCCTATCCTGCTCAACTATTGCACAGCTTGTTGCTCTGTGGATGTTTTATTTTTGAAAAATTTATCATTTTGAGGAAAAAGTACTTGTAACCAGTAGGAAGTAAAAAGTTATTTCTTAACCGCATCAGTTGGAGACATGAGGTTGAATATAAGCTTCACTGACCTTTCCCTGGCATGATTCATGTATCATAGGCCACGGCCATCGCAGCCTGACTTCAGTAGTCCTATTTGCTATGTCATGACGAAAGCAAAACCTATTTCTGCTATATGGCCTCTACCAGTTTAAGCTTGACAAACTAGAACCTATGTTCTAGTTATGGGGTCAAACAAATTAGTTCTTATTTTGTAAATCCTTGGAGCAAAAATAGGAAAATTGTTTCATTCAATTCAATTCAGTTTATTTATATAGCACCAATTCACAACACATGTCATCTCAAGGCACTTTACAGTTCAACCAGATCAAAACGTCAGCTAACATATAAGCTGTTGACTGTTTTTACATGATTTCCAGAAAAAGGCCAATAGATTAGATGTCTCAACACATTCTTTATTTTTTTAGATTTGACAATAGGAGGCGCCATAGGCTCCAGAAGTTTATATTTGCAAATTGTTAGATTTATACTAAACTCAGAAGATGTGCTTAAGACATTCCCCTGAGGGACAACAAATGTAGAAGTTTTCCATATTATCATCATTTTTTTTGGGGGAGACTTCTAAGTAAATTTGTTTTGAGCGTAACGCTCATGAACTCTGTTGCCTCAGCTGAACTTTTGCGTGGTTGTAGGTCAAATGTTTTGGAACATAAAGGTCCACAGCCCACTGAGGATGCAGGAATATCTGCTGGGTGATGAAGCCTTACGAAGACAATAAACAAACAGCGTCACAGTCATGTTCAGACCTGAGCATGTGGCAAGGAGCATTGGTTAACCTGAGCTGCATGCAGCTTCAGATATTACGGTAACTGAATGTTGAGCAGTTAAATCTCCCATTATCACCTGAATCAGGTTTTTACTGACAACAGACTTCTTCATTGTGACAACATTGCATCTAAGCAAACAGGACCTGCAGTTTATCTGGAAGTCACTCTCACTCCTGTTGCAAAGGTATGCAGTAATACAGAGGTTTTCAATTGAATTAAGATTAATCCTGACCAACAGTTAGATTTATCTGTATTTTGAATGTGCTACCCTTTAGAGGGCAGGTTGGGGATGCAGATAAAGGCCACAATTTTAAGGTAATACAAACAACTGCAAAGAAAAAACCTGCAGAATGAATGCAGTCTAAGCTTAATCTCAGCTCTACTTTAATCAGATAAATACTTCGTTATCTGGCTGTTCAATACTAATGAGGGAATGAGGTCACAGGATTTAGGTGTGTTGGAGCAGGGATCTAAAAGCTGTTGGATTTCAGCTCTAGATTCTAGCAAGGTAGTGTTGTACTGAAGGCTCTCAATCACCCTTCCTGCCTTCAATTCAACAGAATGAGCCATAGTTTGATGTCTGAGCTTCCCTCCTCAAATTGACCCCCCAGCCTGCTGGGAAGAAAGTGGATGGATGTGTTTTTCCAGCAGAACCAGGGAATGTCTCCAAAGGTTGCACAGTCTACTCATACTAGCCTAGCCTAGAATCTTGTGTGCAAAGGAGAAATCAAAATTCAGGTAACCTCATCAATTATCTCTCGCTTTTAGACTGAGAAGCCAGGGAAGGTCCAGTTTGACCCCCAAGTTAAGACTTGAAGGTGTTGCATCATTTTTCCATCTAACTCATGCAAAGAAAACAGCCCATAATGCCCCATGATGCTTCCACCACCATCATTGACAGTTGCAGCAGTTTTCTAAGGTTGGCAGGCTTCAGCTCTAGTCCTCCAAAAATACTCCTTGTCAAACGGGTCAGTTTTGCCTCGTTTGCCCGGAGGTACAATGTGTGTGTGTGGGTGTGTGTGTGAGAACTTGCTTTGAGCAGTGTGTGATGGGATGTGACAGCTATGATCTCTGTTAGTCCTATGTTCGCCTTTCATTCTCTGAAGCCGTTCGGCTGTGAAATAACCGAGACAAACCACAATCCCCCTCTGCCTGTCTGCTGCCCCAGCTGCAAAAACACTCCGATGCTCACTGGCCAGGTCCCTTTACGTCTGTCGCCTCCACAGCTTCTGTTGTTTTGAATTTGTACCATATAAATAAGGGGAATTGAATTGAAAACGGTTTGAATTTGGTCAGACCCAATCGATCATAGGAACAGCTGGGTGGCCACTCTATTTCTCCTCAGCCAGAGTTAAACAAATACACCATGTGTAGGATGCATCTGTTCCTGATGCTCTGACTCCAACCTCAGTCAACTCTTCATGAAGCTTCCTTCAAATTACTGAATTAACTTTTCATGATAATCCTCACCAGTAACAGTTATCCTTGTAATTGTTCCAGAGAACATTTTTCCCTTTCCCTTAACTTGCTATAAATATGGTATGAATGCATTGAATTTTGGGTTATGAGAGAACCAATGCTTGAACAGGAAGGAGTTCTACCCCAGAACATTTTGCAGCGTGGCAAAAGTGGAGCCACCATGCAGCCCCTCTAAATTAAGCTATTTAGTATGAATGAAAATTCTGCTTCAATCTGTGGTTAAAGGTTTACGAGTGGAAACATGACAGGAATCTGCTGATTCAGCCTCTCAGTTCAGTCTAATTTAATGACACATTCCTTCAATCTAATGACACAACTCCCTAGTCTAGCAACTCCTCACTGGTTGATTTTTTATTAACAAGCTGCCAGTAAATGCCCCGCCGCTCCGATGGCCAGAATAAAAGCATTTGTAATGGCTGGCGTGTGGATGAGGACTCACCCTCGCTCCTTTAGCCGGAAAACACTGGCAGGTGGTGCAATCCCGCCCGTCACATGGCTCCTTTGGGTCACCCTGGAGATCAAGACAAGATGAAACACCATGTTTTTACAATGTTCCAAGATTTCAATTGGAACTGAATGACATGTTTGTTCTATATTAAGGCCTGATAAACAGAACTGATTATGTTGGTCATCACTATTAATCAACAGCCAATCACAACTTGCCCACCGTTAATTGAAGCACATCCTTTAACCTCTCCCTTACGGAGTAAAATTTGCTCTTGTCAGGATTCCTGTCTGTGTGTTTGTGTTTCTGTGTTTGTCTCCCTTTCTCCACCAGGAGGCGCCTGGTTCTGGTTCTGAGTTCTTGTCAACCTGAGTCTTAATCTTGTTTTTTGTCTTCGCCTCTCGGCAGGAAGTCATCTTGCAAACTAGATGTTTCGGACCTTCTCTCCCTGGAAGGATCATCTGAGCTTCAAACTGAGCTGAGGCTTTAAACTGGAAGTTTGAATCCACTTCCCCTCAAGAGATTGTTTAAGCTTCACACTGAGCAAGGGATTCATCTCCACTACGACCCGTTCAAGTACCGCAGGAAATCTCAGTGGCAGTCAGCTTCTCCGTTCACCTAGAATCAACTGCATTCTGAGTAAACCCTGTCCACCCTCCACCGAATCAGACAAACACTGGAACTACCGCACACAGACTGGATTCAAAGAGACAACAACTTCT